AACTGTCGACCTTCAGATTATGAGACTGACGCTCTACCGACTGAGCCAATCCCGCGCCACCTAAAATCCTGCTTACTAATTTATAAAGAAAACTTTTTTTTAAGACGAACTTTCTTCTGAAATCTCGTTATATTCAGCGGCAAAAGGTTAAAACAAGCTGTGGCCATCTAGTAAACCCCGTTCTCCAAGTTCTGGCATCGAGTTTACAAATCAATTGATGAATTCAATGATTTTCAGAAAATCATATGCCAATTACGAATAATATCATCACACTTTTGCTAATTTGACGCTAAACTCCAAAGTCCAATATCTTTTGAAGTGAACTATTTTGGGGTATTTAAACTTTCGGAGTCAACGTCTTCGAACAATTGAGATAATTCAATATGAAGTAAGCGAGACCCAATTACAGTAATTCTAAAATGATCGGGAAGTCAGAAGCCAATCAAAAGCAACTTCGCTCCACGTTACGGAGTATTGCACAGCATCCAAATCGAGAGGAGTTCTTTCCCCGTCTAAGTATCCACTTTGAGAATAAGTGTAATCTACAAAAAGATCTCCGCGTATTACTTATTACTTAGATCAACGTTCCCCTGACATCCTGATGCAGTGTACACACTTCGTCTCCAACACGATTGCGTGATTTCTATTAGCATCAAAATTAAAGCGATCGGATAAAGAGACACACACCAGAGACCACAACGCCATCACATTTCAATTATGCGGTTTCGGTGGGGGAAGAGGAGAGCGTGGTTAGGTGGCCTGTTTGTGGAGTTTCATATCAATGATCCGTTTAGCTTTTCTCAACCCTAAATGCAGTAAATAAACAGCGTAATAATCTATACAGAGCGTTTAAAAGCGACGAGAAATGTGGTTGTATACAACAGATTGTGTGCTCAATGTGTCATTGCCATCCTCGAATGGTAGGACAAGTAAATTTACTTTCGCTGAGGAAATAAAAGAGGCGAGCTTTATTTTTCCAAGTTATCCCTTTAATAAGAGTTATTAATCGTCAATTATTTTATAGTTGTTATCGTATTTTAGAATCTGGGAATTAACGAAGTTTTATTTTTAACCGGAATTTGAAATCACACACAAAAGTTTGTCCGGAGTGTCCCTTTTCCCCGCATTAGCAATGAACGGATACATCTCCTCCCAACCTCTCCACCAAATTATTCCCTCCGCATACAATTCCACCTACTTACTCCGCGGTGAATCCGCAATCACCGCTCGATTTCTTCAAAAATACCAAAACCAACTCGACGCTTATGAAGCTCTGGTCGATGCATTAGCTGAATTACCCCCTTATAACGCATTAGTCGAGGCGATACAGGAACAACAGCAATATTGCGATGCTTTGAGAACTGCAATTGACGCTAAGGAGTCTGAATTAAGAACCCTGAGTCGCAGACTGTGGGTGCAAGATACATTCTTCATAAAATTTCATTCTTAATGTGTGTAATTTTGCAGACCGACTTCTCCGAAGCTCAGTAATACTTTGAAAAGTTTCAACAGCATGGGTTCCCTTTCGAATATTTTTCACAAAGTATTGAAACCTGGCATTGTATGAAATATTTTTCTGAGTAATTTTTATTTGGTATCTAGACGCGAGGTACATCTCAGTCAAGAGTTTCAAACTATAACGACGAAGACACGCCGAGAAAATCGGAAGATTTCCAACAAGAAATGAAAACCCTCGATTTGGCCAGAATCAAACAAAAAGACGCCGATAGCATGGTTCTTTAATATACTATTATCTTTTCATTTCACATCCTAATCCGCCTTTACAGCTCGCTCTGCTCCAACAACAACTAACCGACCGACAATTTCAAACGATGCAATGCGCGCAGTTGATTTTGGAATTATTCGAAGGTCAAACTCCAGACTTCCCAGAAGAAGATCAACTGGAACGACTGACGGCAAAGCTTAATGCAAAGGTTACGAATTTGCGAGCGATGCAAGACTCCGTGGGTGCAGTTGTCGCTGATTTACAAGAAATCTGCGATCGGCTTTCGAATGCGGTGGAGATACTAACTGAATTACTCACGAATAATTCTCGTAATCGGGACTATTTATCCGCAAAGTTTTCTGGTTAGAAAGTTTTAGAGTTTTAAGAACGTATTGGTTTACATTTCAATTTTTAGAGTACGAGAGATGCGTAAGTGCTTGTGAAGCGAGTAAGGATTTAGTTTTAATGCAATTGTCGGATCTTCAGACTGAGTACGAGTTAATTTACGGGGTTGACTTCTCTTCTCTTCGAAAGATTATGTAGGATTCCCTTTCACATTTTTTTTATTTATAAAAATTAATTCATCATTGTTATTAAATTTTTAATTTATTCAGTCGACTCAACACCAGCAGAGCGGTTGATAAAAGTAAGAAAGATAGATATTCTATCAATTTACAATGTAAACTAAAAACTTAACACTTTAGATGAAATCGCAAAGGCTATCGAGACATTCAAAGTTCCTCTGATATCGTGTCAAAGTGCATTGAACGGTGCAAAGTCTACTTTCCATGAACAAAATATTCGACTCCGTCAACTCGAAGACGACTATGATCGCTGCACAATGGAACTAGACCGAATTCGGCGGAGTATTCTCGTTCGTGCAATCGCAATTAGACGTTCCAGACGAGGTGTACATCCTTTACATCCTGAACTCGTTCCATCACCGTTGCGACCAACCGCGATAAATTCACACACTGACGAAAATATTTTCAACGACACTATCAGTACATCCAGTATACCCAGCGCTTCTCACGATGCAGCGACAAAAGCCGCAATGGAAGCACAAATACGAATTCGAGAGATAAATTTCAAACACCACCGTTCGAAATTGTCAATCATGAATAACGCGGTGTATATTCAAAACACAGATGTTCTGGATGAAGAAGTATCAAGCACGCACGAACTCTCTTCGTCAGTATGGAGCGAAATGGAACGTGAACATGATGAGTATCAAGCCGCCGAAGCGATTTATTTATCCCCGCATAATAATTTCCAGTCATCGCTGACTCGACAGGGAAGTTCGAGAAGCGCGAAAAGTTATAAAGGATATTCATCTAATCGACGTGAACCTGGACTTGTTCGGCAAAATAGTGGAAGACGAGAAGTCCCCGGTTTATCTCGACAAAATAGCGGTCGCCGCGATGGAGGATATAATCTCGTACCCCAACGAACGAACAGCGGCAGACGACACTTACGCTCAATCTCAATCGACGCGAGATCATCCAGATCGTTTGCAGTTCAATCAATCGTTTCATCACAGTGGACAATTAGTACTTCAGCCGCATACTCAATCCCTTCACCACCAGAAAAAGAAATGCACCTTAAAAACGCACAAAACAACTCTATCCATATCCGCGCCGAATCGCAAACGTGGACAATATCCTCTGGCGCTGCGTCACCGTCATCGTATTGTATCGGTACACCACCACTTACACATGCAATGACAGCTCCAACCGCGTCAAGTGTAGTCACCGTACCCGAATACTCCTACGCGGACTTTTCTTCTATGAAACCATCAACGAGTTTATACTACCAATCTTCAAACAAACGTAAAAAAGGTCGAAACAGTAAAGAACCTGACGAAATCGCCAACCCCGCATCTGAAAATTCACACCCCCTTCCGTCCGAATCTCCCGAATCACAAATCACACCCGGACACAACCGACGGTACAGTTTTCAACAATATCAACAATTCGAATTACAAAATGAAGCGCCTCGTCAAATACCAGTTACTGTCACTGAAAACCAAAACTTTGCTTCTATAAATATTTCTTCGCTTCGATTTCAACAACTCGAATACACCACCACACTGAATCATACTCAGTATACACCCTACGAAAACCACAACGACAAGAATATCGAAGAATTCGCGGAACTGTTTAATTCGCAATTAAACATTGACCCAATCCCTGACGCACAAACCGACCAAGAACCATTATCACCAATAAAAGACGCCAAATTTGTTGAATTCGTAATCGAACAATCAACAACCGAAGGTAAAATCAGCCCCCAAAAAATTGTGGAAGAAGTACAACACAACCAACCCGAAGTACAACAAATTTCCACTCCGAAAATTGAAACGTTGGTGGTAAACTCTGGTGCGATATCGGTTGTTTCATCCAGTGTTGGTACGGAGGGAACGTTGGTGTCACGGTTATCACAGAAAAGTCGACGTGGAAGAGGTTCGAATTCACCTGAACCGTTTCGGTTTAAGAATTTGGTTGCGCCGTTGAGGAGGTTGAGGATTTCCAAGAGTAGTAGTCAGTCATCGAAGCGAAGGTCTCTTTGATATATTTTTTTTTAATATGATGATGTGTATTTTCTTTTTATATATTATGAGTTTTTTGTATTTTGTAAAGAAATTTTTTATATGATAATATGATAATAGATAAAAACTTGAAGTAACTGAAGGAACGAATTATCAACTGAATTTGTGGAATATGTGGGAAATATTTATGTGGTGCTGATGCGTCAAATGTGATTCCTGGCCCTACTTAGCTTATGGTGTGTTGTTTAAAACACCCACATATGATTCTGTGCTCAAAACAATTTCGAGATGTAATTTGTAATTAACTTTATATACCGGCAAAAAATTACTCAATTCTTAACGAACCAGCGGGATTGGCTCAGTCGGTAGAGCGTCAGTCTCATAATCTGAAGGTCGACAGTTCGATCCTGTCATTCCGCATTGTTCATTTTATGAATCAGTTTATATTATTTATCGATAAGAAGAAAATTTTCTTTTACATTTATTTGTTTATTTATTAAAGATATTAAAATAGCTCGAGATACAAATATTAGTGGAAAAAATGTATAAAAAAAATTGGAGAATTGAAAAAAATAATGAAGTGGAGATTCTAACTGATAAAATACTAAGCTAGCTGTTCTGACGGATGGTCATTGAGTTCGACTAATTCAAGTTTCCGCTCCTCAATAATCTGAATGTTTCCTTTGGTGGTTGTAACGAATGGATGATCTTCGCTCCCAAACACTCGAAGGAAGATTTCTAAAGCATCATTATACAGGTTTCCCGCCGCGTCCAATTCGTTGGCGTCTAATTTTATGTTTGCGAGATTATTTAACGTCATACCAATCTGCAGACAAACAAATTTAATTTTTACCGGAGCGTTGGAGTTTATAGTTTAGACTAACCTGTTCTTGGAATCTGGTGCCGTGAACGACAGTTAAAATTTCAATCGCTTCTTCATAATACTTCTCGGCAGATTTGAAATCTTTACGATCGGATGCAACAAGACCGAGATTGTTTAATGTTGACGCACAATCTGTATTTCATAGATTAAATAAATTTCACAAACGAAAGAGAAAACAACAGAAATACACACCTTTGTGTTTTGTTGTTCCATAAACGTTTACCTTCGTTTCCAACGCCTCTTTAAAGTATCCTTCCGCAAGTTCTTTATCTCCGCGATCAGAAGCAACCAGTCCCCTAAAGAAATATAGAATTTTGATTACAGAAAGACAACATAAATCCGTATAAAAAAACTCACAGGTTATTAATCGCCATCGCACAATCAATGTGATTCTTCGTTCCATGTACACTTACGTAAACAGACAAAGCCATCTCATAATACTTCTTTGCCGCATCAAAATCTCGCTTATCATACGCCGCTATTCCCAAATTATTCAACATCAACCCACAATCCGGATGATTCTCCGTTCCATATGCGGCAGTATACGTATCCAACGCCTGTTTGAAATACCATTCGGCATCAGAATAGTTTCCTGCATCCGATGACACCGTTCCTAAGAGACTCAAGTGGTTGGCGATTTCAGGTTGATCCATGCGGATAACTGTCTCCACATTACTTTCGCGTTCTTTACGTGACGATCTTACGGACATTCTGTCAATAAACGAGGTACGTTTCTTATTTTTGGATTCCTTATCTTCTTCCTTGAATGTTTTAAACCCGTATAACTCCTTCATAATCTCCAAACTTTCTGTGTGCATATGAATGGCCTCTGCGTATTCGCCGCGAGCATGCGCAACGTTGGCTAAATTCGTGTACGTTTGAGCGACGTCCTTGTTTTGTTTGTTGCCGTGAACTTCAATAAAAATCGTCAACGCTTCATTGTAACTTTTCCACGCCGTGTCGTAATCTCCGGATGATGAAGCGCACAATCCAACGTTATTTAATGTCACTGCAATATCTCGCGAAATTTCCATCTCCATCTCTATGTCCCGATCGACAGTCTCCTCTTTTTGCACTTCCTTGAGGATTTTCAACGCTTCATCAAAGTAAGTACGCGCAAGCGTAGCGTTCCCTTGATCTGACGCAATCTGACCCAACCCATTTAACGATGCCGCAACATCAGCGCAATCACGAGTCCCGTTCACAATCGTTGCATTAACCACAGCTTCGTCAAAGTAAGTCTTTGCTTCAGATAAATCACCCAACTCCAAACAAACTTGTCCTAAATTATGCAACGCCGTAGCAATATCCGGATGACTTTCCTCGTCAGCATAAAGCGAGGCGGTCAAATACAACTGATGCTGTAATAAATCCTTTGCGCGTTCTAAATCTTTCCAATAATGTAACCACAACAATAACCGATCGGATAATTCAATTACTTCGATAATATACTCGTCGCTCATTTCACTGTTGGTGTTTCCGATAATATGGAAAGCATGGATCCGAAGCGTGGCCGCAAACTCGCTGTTTTCTGGGATTATTACGGTGGGGAAACTTATCAGCATTGCTCGTACCGTTCGCATCATCCACATGATTTGCACGTCAGAATCGGGTGTATCAATTAAATTGTGTTTACCGAGAATGTTGAATGATAAAATTTGCACGGCTGGGTGAACGTTGACGAAATTCGGGGTGCCGGAAATTAACGACATGTTCACGAGCATACGATATGCATCAGAGTACCGTTGCTCAACAGCAGCTTCGAAAATTTCCTTCGGGATTGTAGAACTCGCCATGCAAGATGATACACCCAGAATCATAATCGCCGCTCTTGCCACTGCACCAGGGGTATAAGGAACCCCTGACACCTGAATACTATCGTTTCGATCAATATCAAAGAAGGCCGCAACCGACATTCGAAAAACTGTTTCGAGCGGTTTTAAAATCGCAAAGAACGGTTTGGAAATTTCGTTTGCAAATAATTCTCCAATTCCTCTAGGTCCAAGTCGTCGAGAAATGATGTGTCCGGCTAAGAATTCCGCTGCCATGGGCCATCCGTCTACCACAGACAATAATCTTCGCATCATATTCTCATCGGTAGATCTCAAAAATGGAACTCGCGAGTACAAGAATGAGGTTGTTTGTTGAATCGTCCACCGTCTAATACGAATCATCTTCACTTTGTATTGCAACTTCTCGGATCCAACATTCAATTGTCTGCTTACAAATTCCGCAACTTCTTCGTTCTGGGTCGTGATGATCACCGATCCGCCAAAGTTGGAAATCCCACTAAACACCTCTTTGACCACACCAACGTCATCCGCTTGATCGAGAATAAGAAGATAATCCGTTCGAGTAGATAATATCTCCACACCGATTTTACGGATTTGTTTTCGAGCTGGCGGTTGTCCCATCTTTTGCGATATAACCGTGCGACCTGCTGCAGTGCACATGGTCTGCAACGCCGAATACGCAGAATTTCGTGACTCGCAAGAAATCCAAAAGATTAGGGGATATTGTGATTGATTTTGTTGCGCAAATTGTGAGGCGATTGAAGTTTTACCGATTCCTGCGTCACCCGAGAGTACGACGATGTGATTCGATCGCATTCCGTTGTTGATTGCTAGGAGTTCCATATCTCGATGCGCAAAGAATGGAGACGGATCGGGTGGAAATAGCTCGTTCAATGCATCTGTTTTCAAGATTAAATTTTCTATAAGCGTTTTTGGAGTATGTGACTTACCGAGAACCTCTCTGTTATTTAAAGATTTCACGAGTTGTTTAGGAACTGTAAATTAATAAAATTCAACAAATTTTATAAACAAAAAATGGAAAGATTTTAAATACCGCGAGGGGCCACTTCTTTTTCATAAATATTCAGTATCTGTTTCACTGCCGTATCCATATGATTCGGATCCAAATACACCGACTGAAAACTGAATAGCGAGTCCCAAGTTTCCGCATGATTAGTATGCCTCCTATTTCCTTCCACCACAGTGCTATCATTCGAATCCGTAAATGGATCAAACGTAGAAATCGACTTTCGCTTGTCAACATTCTCGATACTCTTTGAACTTTTCGAAGACTTACTTTTTGAACCACGAAACACTGCTCCAATAGCTTTAAAATTCATCGAGATTTTTTTCTTCATATTTGGAGTCGAGGTCTTCTTTAAAGGTTCAAACGCAGGTAGAGGTTTCGGAATCGTACCCGGATTCTCAACCACAACAATCGGAATCAATATCGGACCTCCTTTCTGATCAGAAAGCGCCAACCCTTCTTCGATATCCGCCAAAAACCGGTCCTGTTTATTCTCCTTCTGCAGATTCGCAGACATTTTTTGCATAGAAGTATCCGTAATTAAATATAATACGATTTTACTAAGATTAATCCCTTTCGGCGGGTTCGGTGATGGGATTAATCCCAGACAATTCCGGTCGAAGAATACGATCGGAGGACTTTGTGGCCATTGATAACGTGCGGAAAGTTCTAGTTTTGCGTGGAACGCTGAAGCGAGGCGAGAGTCGGCCGCTCGGTAGCATAGCGCGAAGTCATGGATAGATTTGCGGTTGTGTGATTTACATGTCCAATTTTGAGATGAGAAGGTCGGAATGCGGAAGCGAGATGCAGCCGAGGAAGTTCCGGACAGCACGCTGATGAAGCTAGAGCGTTTACTATGTACTGTTTTCGAATCGGCGAATTCAGAATCAGCGTAGAAACTTGTTCTGCTGGTTCGACTTCTTACAGTGCGACTGAGCGTGCTGGTAGGAGAAGATCTCCCGTCTCTTGCTTGATGAGGAGAAAGCATTTATAAAAAAGATTAAAAAGTAAAGATTAATGAATTAATTGCTGGTTTTGTCGAGGGTTATCTCCCACCCGCCACAGTGAAAAAAAGGGGTAACCCACGCGTTGCAAAAACTCATCAGTATCAAAGATTGCTCATCACAATGTAATTTGATTCTTTCGTTCGAGACTCAAGTATATATATAAAGTATATTTTATTTGGATTTCGGGTAAAACTATCTTTTTCGAATAGGTGCCACTTCTAGTGAATCATCCTGGATAAAGTTAATCTTAAAAAAACCTCATTAAATAATGCTGCAACTTCATTCAAAGAAGTTCATTGCAGATAAACGGCTACTCTTGCTAGCGACGTGGAGGATGTGACACATTCGATCAATGTGCGATCAAAATTGAAGGTACCTTGGTTGCATGTAGAATTTGAAGAGATTTGGAATCTGTTAAACAATAATATTAACGATTCTTTTCAAATGATACTACAGTATGAATAATTTGGGAAGGGTATATAGTGCAAGTGGATCCACCATTTTAATCCTATTATTGCACTACAAGCGGCGCTCATACGTCGGATAATGCTTATATCAGCTCAGTCTTTAATGATTTCGCGGGATAGATTTAATTTAATATGAAATTTTAGATTAAAAATTGTGATTGTTTAAATCGATTTTTGACAGTTTTTTTTTTGCTTTGGAGTAACTTGCAATTCTGCCAGCTAACCTATACAAGGCGTGATTAT